CGCCCCCTCCCCTCACGGCGCCGCTGCCCTTCCCGCCGCGCAGGAGCCGCCGCCGCCGCCGCCGCCGCCATGGGCAAGGGCGACCCCAACAAGCCGCGCGGCAAGATGTCCTCGTACGCGTACTTCGTGCAGACGTGCCGCGAGGAGCACAAGAAGAAGCACCCGGACTCGTCCGTCAACTTCGCCGAGTTCTCGCGCAAGTGCTCGGAGCGGTGGAAGGTGAGCGCGGCCGCGGCGCTGCCCGCCGCCTCGGCGGCGCCGCCGGCCCGTGGGCTCATCCCGCCTCCTCCTCTCCCCCTCCGTGTGCCCCTCGCAGACAATGTCGAGCAAGGAAAAAGGGAAGTTCGAGGAAATGGCCAAAGGGGACAAGGCTCGTTACGACAGGGAAATGAAGAACTACGTCCCCCCCAAAGGCGAGAAGAAGGGAAAGAAGAAGGACCCCAACGCTCCCAAGCGGCCGCCGTGAGTGCTTTGCGTGTGTGTCACGCAGTGCTGGCTGGCGCTGGCAGCTCCACGCTCGCTTGATTAACCCTTTATTCCCCTTCCAGGTCTGCCTTCTTCCTCTTCTGCTCCGAGCACCGCCCCAAGATCAAGAGCGAACATCCCGGCTTGTCCATCGGCGACACGGCCAAGAAACTGGGTGAAATGTGGTCCGAGCAGTCGGCCAAAGACAAACAGCCCTACGAACAGAAGGCCGCGAAGCTAAAGGAGAAATACGAGAAGGTACCGGGTGGGGGGGAGCAGAAAGTGCTGCTTGGGCTTGCAGAGCCTGCTGTGAAGGGGCTGGTCTGGCTCGACTTGCACCTAAGCGGTGCAGGGTCCATAGTTCTAAGCGGAGCCTGTGTTGCGCCTTACAAGTGCTGGGAAGGAGTGGCACAAAAGGAATGTGGAGGCCTTTCCTGGTGCAATTTTTACACGCCTAGAGACCTCGCCAGGGAGCCTTTACCTCCAGAAAACAGGTTACCCACTTGGGAGAATACACAGCCGTGCTCAGATTAAATTCCTCAAACTGCCTGGGTCTTGCTAGCAAAACATGTAAGCACCGCCCCCCTACACACCCACCTTATTTCTTCTCCCTCCTTCACTTAGGATACACATAAAGTATTAACTTCTGGAACTGTACAAACTTTTCTTCGTAATTACCTTGCAAGCAACTAAACAGCATCTCTCTCTCTTACAGGATATTGCAGCGTATCGTGCCAAGAGCAAGAGTGACACAGGAAAAAAGGGCCCGGGGAGGCCTGCAGGATCCAAGAAGAAAGCAGAACCAGAAGAGGATGAGGAAGAGGAAGAAGACGATGAAGAGGAGGAGGAAGATGAGGATGAGGAGTAGATGCAAGTCCTGCTGTAAAGATTTATGCTCAGAATACAATATTTTGCTAAGAATGTGAACTCAAGTGCAGCTCATTGTTAGCTTCAGTATAAAAATCTGTACAGAATTGTGTATAGGTGATGTGGTTCTTTGTAGGGAGACCTATATTTTTAATGTAAGTAGTAGCTGTGGGCTGCTACAGTTCTGTTTTAAAACAAAGAAGAAAAAGTTGTGGAATGTTTCTGCATATTTAATGGTTTTGTTTGAAACTCAGTGACTGATAGCCAGGTGTTTCTTTTTAGCAAAGTAAAACAAAGGAGGTAGCTTAATAGCTGATCTTATATTTTGTAGTATATTTGCATTGTATTACTTTTTTTAACAATTTTGTAATAAAATGATGTACATGATTCTTGGTGTATTCTTACTGTTCGTAAGGGGCTGTGTACTTGCGGAAGTCCCAGCCTGGCTGCTTTCTCTTGTGGACAGGTCTGTGGTGCTCTGAACAGGGATATTGCTCACGTGACAAAGTTGGTAAATCTCAGTCTTAAAGCCCTGTATCCATTGCAGGACTTGAGCTAGTTATTTATTTATTTCCTCTTATGCTAGCACAGTTTTATTCCCCCCCTTACCCTTAGTTGCAACTGTTGTTTTTCATACCCCAGCACATGTTTACATCACATCAGTCAAGTTTGTTGATATTTTTTTTCTAGAATGCAAGACTTGTTTCTAGAGAACTGCAGCAGTTTTGAAGAAAACAAAACTCCAAGTGCTGCCTTGCGTTAAACCATAGTAGTTGACAGTGGCGTAAATACAAGAAGTTTTCCAGAGTGCAGGTTCCCTGGCCTTGTCCATATCAGGATAGGAAAGTTGGCACTAGGACTAGGACTAGGCAGGGTTCGAAGCCTCCTCTCCAGATGTTCGCTGTGCTCCCTTCTCCCCTGCCCCCATGTTAGTGATTTCTTTAAAAACCCACAGCTTGGGAAGAAGGGCCTGAGAAGTGTTGGAATGTTATCTACATGCCAGCAGGGAGATTCCTGCAGAAAACATGAGTGATTTTTAAAGAGCCATATACTGCTGGTACCACCAGGGCAGAATATCCCCCTGTCACTAATATTTCTTGGTCTTTAGAAGCTTTTTTTGGTTTTGTTCAAAAAGAGTGTGTGTATTTAAAAGCAAAAATCTGCATACAAGGGCAAGGGGGAAACTGAGACTTCCATAACTTAAGTAACAGCCGGAATTTAATTGGTAGTTGAGGTAAGTGTTAGGTAACATTTTTACTCGAAAAACACAATGCTGAAAAACATATAACATTAAGTACTATAAATGTCAGTCTCCCAAATTAAAGCCACGCTATTGTCAGGTAAGTTCTTAAGAAGGTTTGTGTGCAGTCATGCTACCCATCCAAGACGGAGAGCGCGCTCTGCGCTCCAGGCCTAACGCTAGCAGCAGCAACTGCAGGCTAGAGATGATAATGTCACATTTCCTGCAAGAAATGAGTCGACTAAACCAGTTTGTGCTCCCCCCAAAGCATGAAAGTAACTGTAAAGACACATTTCTCTTTTCCTGCTGAAGCAGGATACCGGTTCTAGCCATAGAATCAGTCTTTGCAAATTTGTGCTTTGCTTTTCCCTTCTCCCCCACCCCCCCACTCCCACTCTTCCCCTGAGATACTTAAAATAGCATCGGGAAGGCTGGATTTGCTGCCGCGATGCGTGCCGGACCTGCCGGGGCGCTCGGGATCAGCGTTTGCAGGAGCTCAGCCCCGGGGAGGCTCCCGCGCGAGGCCGGGCTCTGTGCCGGGCGACCAGAGCTCGGTCCCGGTTCTCTCGCAGGCGTCTCATGCTCCCAGGGACCGAGCGCTGCAGCCCGGCCTCAGGAATGCCTCTGGGTGCAGTTACCTCTCATAATACGGAGCGGAGGGTGCATGCTGTGAGGGCACCCGCCACGTCCTCCGACTGCTCAGGTCACTCTCTGAATAAAACAGTGGTGCTTTAAGAGGTATTTCTGATCGCACGTAAATAAATAACCCTTTGCAGTTGCATCAGGGTAAACGGACTAGTTTATCATCTGAAATATTTTCTCCTTCTATTGCTTTTAACAAAATACAATCCTTCAGGTGTCCCAAAAAGCCCTGTTCTTTCCAAGATGATTTAAAATATTGTGCCAGAATAAGAGCATACCTTGAGGTATAATTAGGAATAAATCAGCAAGTTCCTCTAATACATTTCTGAGATTAAAAGGACTTCTGGGTCCAGTTTCATTTAGCATTAATTGGCTAATTTAGCTACACCACCACCAACTTCTGCACAGACAGAGCAGAGCTGCTTGCTGCCACCTCTCAGGTAGGTGTCCCATACCCGCTGCCCTGCAGGTACTCCATGGAAAGCCCTCTGTGGCTCACTTGTGTTGTGATCCCATTTATAAATATTCCCTGAGCACAGCAGGAGCCTGTGGTGCTGCCCCGCTTGCCTGACCCACATCGGGATCCAGGACCGGCACGAGCTGCAGCGACCCTCGGCATCGCGCCGCCAGCTGGGATCCCCACCGGGATCCGAGACATTTCCAAATAGCAACTTGCCCTCTCCGTAAGAACGCTGACTACGGATTAATGACCAAGGGAAATGAGCAAGTGGAAATTACTGCTTGCAAATTACACTTTAAGAAGTGTGATATGGTCAGATCAGGAGGTGCAGATAATGTCCATCTGTGACTACTGAAAGAACCGGCACTGGGAAGCACTAGGAGGTGATCAAAATATAAAAGGAATGCGCAGAAAAGATAAGGCTGTGGCAGAAAAGCTAAATTAGCTTTCCACATCTGCGTTCAACATGTAAGATCTTAGGAAACTGCAGTCACTGGAAGCTTGTTTTTCTAGAGATGAACTGGGCCACTCGTCTCAAAGGAAAACTAAAAGAGGCCTCGGGGAGGCTGCTCATGGACACTGCATAGGAGGTTCAGCACAAGCACCTGCCACTCACTGCAGTAGACTGAGACCACCAGAACTAGGATGATACGGATTAAAAAAACAGGTATCTGAGTATTAAAGGCAGGATATTCCTTAAACCATCAGAGCTATTTCTAAACCAGCAAAACAACACTGGAAGAGGTTAGATGCAGTGAGAAACGGGATTACAGCAACTTGTGAGAACACATTAATACCTAATTTCAAGCACACCAGGCCCAGGAAACCTGCCAAACAGTCCCTTGGGACAACTTTGGGCCAACATATAAAGCAATGCTCAGGGAAGATAACTAGCAGGGAAAAGGTGTGGGGAGGATTTAAAACCTTTGCTGAAGAGCCTCAGAAGTTCTCCTGACAACTTTTTAAGGGCTGGGGGAGGGAATGAATGGTGCAGCATCTGTCTCAAATCCAAGCATAAAGGGTCAGGAACACCGACAGGACAGATGGTTTTCATCCCCGAGTTCTTAAGGAGCTCAAGGACGAAATGGGTGAACTATTAACTGTAGTTTATAATTTTACACTTTAAACTGTCCTAGTCCTAGAGGAACAAAAGGTGATAAATATGCCATGAGCTTTTAGAAAGCATTCCGTGGAGATACAGGGAACTTCGGCAAAGTCCATATAGCAAGCTGGCAGAAACCATAATACAGAAGAGAGTGTGTGGACAAAAAGCTAAATTGGTCTGTTTAAAATAAATAAATAAATAAGTGAATGAATTACCCATTTAATCAGTGGGAAAAAAAAATCTACTAAAAAAAAAAAAAGCATAGGATTTAGGCAGTCCTAGGGCTAGTAAGACTATTAAATAAGTTCATAGTAAAAATCCAGAAAAAAAGTGGTGAACAGTGCTTTGGTGAACAAGAAGGCTAAAAGCAAGAAGACTGCAAAGCCAGTTACTGCCTGAAATGACTGGATAATGAAAATAGCAGATGAAATCTGGCGTTAATTCAAAACAATACATGTAAAGGGGAAAAAAAAATAGTCCTAACCTTTCTCATCATCAAGGAGGATGGAAAATAAACTACTTAATATTAATGTAGAACAGATGCTAGAATTGTAACAGGTGTTTCCCTGAAGATGTAATAGATGCTCATTAGTTACAAAATCAGCTAGAACATAAGGCAGGTTCCAGGTAAAGAACTGAGTCTGGAGAGCAGTATATAGACCTCCGCCTTTTCCATGTGCTTTCAGAAGGAAAATCTTGATCTGAACAGCTACAGACTGAACCCAGTAGGTACAGGCTTTGCTATTCAAATAACAAGAAAGAATTTACAAATGCATCTACAAAGAACATCCTAAAAAGCAGAATGGGAATTTTATCTGGGATTACCTCAAGCTCCGTTCAAAGGCCTGGTAACTGTTTCACAGGCATTTTGTCTATAATCCCAGGCCTCCCCTCACTCACTCGACGAGGGAGCGTGCGCCGCAGCAGTACCTGCCATTGCTCCTGTCTCACCGTCCTTCGCTTCCTTACCTTCTGTTTGCTCTTCTCTTCCTTCCTCCTCCTGGCTTGTATTTCCCTCCACATCTTGAGGCAAGTAAACGTTTTGCCTGCAGTCCCTGCATTTCTGGAATTGCTGGGGCCTTAGTACGAGCTGCCTCCCAGCCCAGCCTGCCTTTGCGTGATTCCTCCTGGATCGGGTGGAGGATCCCATAACAGAGCCCAGATGTGCAACTCATCCCCAGTGCATGCAGCCCCACAGCGCTCGTAATGGGATGTGCAGGAGATCCCAATCTCCCCCCTCCCCATCCCTTCAATTTGATTTATTTGTCTACACACACTTACTTTCATGTAGTTTCAAGGAATTGTCACATGGCAGCACCAAGCAGTGCACTGACCTGTGCATTGCTCCAACTACAAGGTAATACCCCACCTTAATCCCCACTGGTGCAGAGGGCCTTGATGCTCTTCCAGGAATGAACACGGAGAAAAGAATCCTGTAGTCAGCAAATCTGATGCCTTCCCTAAACCCCGCCAGGCTACTCTCAGTATTTCCTACCCCAAAGAGCTAGCAGTAAACTTTGTGCCCATGGTATCTGTCCTTGAGCACAGCTGAAGGGATGACATTTGTTTGGACAAGCTTAAAGAGCAAAGTCAAATGCCTTCTCATAGAGAAGGACCTGAAAGGTTCTTCTAAAAATGCATTGTGATGACAGTGCTAAACAAGCTCCTCTGCCCAGTACCGGACTGGACACTAACCCAGCACTTACTGGGTTGAGGAGTTGAGGTCTTCAACAGGTCTTTGGGAGTCTCCTGGATCTCACCACAGGAAGAAACCAATAAGCCAGCGTACCTTGAAACTTTGGTCATTTTATGGATGCTCAAAATCCACCAAAGGCACAGAAAGTGGTTAGATAAATCCTGCACTATTACACAGAAAATGCCATCTCCAGCTCAGAAATCCTTTGATTATAAATTGCCAAAAGCAGGAATAGTGTTAGA